AAGAGTAAATCTGCTGGGAGGCGCACTCAGCCCCTTGTGCTCACCCTGAAACCAGGCGAGTGACCTTCAAGTCTCATACAGGACCCTGGAGGGCCTGAGATAGAGGCCACAGAACACAGGCCCAGCCCTGTTCTTCCTGGCCCAGGCCGCTCAATGCAGAAGGTCACCAAGGTCCCTTGTCTGCACCAAGGCTCTGTCCTGGTGCCCAAACCGGGGAGGAGGCTCGTGGCACTCTCTGTTGGGGTGCAGGGTTAATGGTTAAGCCGCCTAGGCCATGGTGGGTGGAGGTTAATGTTTGAACGCCAGACGAGTCACAGGAAATGCCACTCACAGAGCTGTCACCGAGCCCGGCACACATATCACAGATAAAAAATTAACTCTTCATCTATTCCGGGTTAGGTGGCCAAGGCCTTCCTGGCATTTTGTGGAAACATTTCAGGGTCACCCTCAGTGCTCCATGGCCTGCCCCCTCTGGCTCTTTATTACTCTGTTTACAAAGCCGACACCCACCCCGAGCTGGCTGCGGCAAGGAAGGGCTCTGGCTCTCCCGGGGGGTGGGGGGTGGGGGGAACTGTTCCAGAGAGACAAGGCGGTAGCAGGGAAGGTGTGGGCTCTGCGGCCAGCCAGCCCTGGGCAGTGTCCTGCTCTATAACTGAGGTGCTGTGTGACCTCGTGCAAGACGCTGGCCCTCTCTGGGCCATCCCTCCCATTTTTTGTCCTTAGGTCTGCTCAGATGGTTCCCCACTTCCCGCAGTGTGGGCAGGAGGAAAAAGGCTTCTTTCTGTATATTGTTTTATTGAGATGAAATTCATGTAAGCTTAAATTAACCATTTGAAAGTGAACAATTCAATAGCATTTAGTACATTTGCCATACTTAGCAACAATTAGCTCTGTCTGGTTACAAACCATTTTCATCACCCAAGTTAAAGCCCCATGCCCATTAAGTAATCACTCCCCACACTTCCCTTTCTCTAGCCACTGGTGGTTATCAATTCCCATAGATTCACCGGCTCTGGACATTCATATAAAGAGGATCGCCCAATAGGTGACCTTTCGTGGGTGCGTTCTGTCATCGAGCTTAACGCTTGCAAAGTTCTTTCAGTTTTTGGCATGAATCAGTCTTCGTATATGCTGGCTTTTAATGTGGTTTCCTCTAGTAGCTATCGCCAGCTGCCTCCAGATCCCCAGCTCCTGAGGCCCTTCCCCAGCCCCCCGTGCCCTGCCCCAAGCCCCACAGCACACCTCTGCCCCTCCTTCTCTTGGCACATCTGATCTTGGCTTGTTTTTCAGAAATAAGTTTGCTTATATTTGCATCACATGTTAGATAATTTGTAAAATTTTAGCTCCTGAAATAGTTGTACAATAAGTGCTATTATTACCCCCATTTCACAGACGAGGAAGCTGAAGTTTCAGGAAGGCCCAGAATCATCCGGAGCTGAAACAGGACTCAGACCCAACATTTTGACTAACTCCTGCGCGTTTACAATGCGGTCTGATCACACTCAGCACAATCGAGCTGTGGATGACCAATATCCTTCTCCCCAGAAGGGTTTTTCATTAGGAAAAACAGAGAGAGAGCTTGTTGGTACCAATTATTTGAAGTGTTACAGGTGGCCTGAAATGCAGAGCTTTAGGCCCGATGAGGAAAAGTTCTTGAGTAGAAGAAGAGGGCTCCCTGGAGGTGGTGTGCAGTTTGTATGGTCCCTGGGAGAGAAAGGACTCAGCTTGCAGTGTCCAGAGCTGTCCTCGAGCCGGTCACCTGGAGAGATCTATGCTTGCTGCAGGGATGCAGCTGCTTGGCCTCCCGGTTTCAGCGGTCCTTCATCTCCTCTACTGCAGCCTCCTGTCAGCAGCGTCGGATGCTCTTCCCAGTCCTCCAATTCCATGGCCCTCTCTGCCTGAATACTTACAGTGATGGGCAGCTCATCACTCCCAGGATACTGCATCCCATCCAGCTGCCTATGCATTTTGGTTTTGTGGTAAACACCACTGGGTTTTAGTTATTCCTCTTGTGATGTGATTTTTGTTTTTGATTTTATTTTAAGTTTATTTATTTCTTCTATGAGGGAGAGAGAGAAAGCAGACAGTGTTCCTAACAGGGTCTTAAAGCAGTTCACCATCAACTTCAGCCAGTTGCAGATGAAGGGCACACACATGGGCAGTGTATTCATGGAGGTCTCCAGACTTGAACCTGGGGCTTTCCATGGGTCTCAGACTCAGGTTTTACTACTATGCTACAGTTGGCCCCTTAACCCCCTAAAAGACCGAAAAGGGAGGAGAAAGGGCAAAGAGTAAATCTGCTGGGAGGCGCACTCAGCCCCTTGTGCTCACCCTGAAACCAGGCGAGTGACCTTCAAGTCTCATACAGGACCCTGGAGGGCCTGAGATAGAGGCCACAGAACACAGGCCCAGCCCTGTTCTTCCTGGCCCAGGCCGCTCAATGCAGAAGGTCACCAAGGTCCCTTGTCTGCACCAAGGCTCTGTCCTGGTGCCCAAACCGGGGAGGAGGCTCGTGGCACTCTCTGTTGGGGTGCAGGGTTAATGGTTAAGCCGCCTAGGCCATGGTGGGTGGAGGTTAATGTTTGAACGCCAGACGAGTCACAGGAAATGCCACTCACAGAGCTGTCACCGAGCCCGGCACACATATCACAGATAAAAAATTAACTCTTCATCTATTCCGGGTTAGGTGGCCAAGGCCTTCCTGGCATTTTGTGGAAACATTTCAGGGTCACCCTCAGTGCTCCATGGCCTGCCCCCTCTGGCTCTTTATTACTCTGTTTACAAAGCCGACACCCACCCCGAGCTGGCTGCGGCAAGGAAGGGCTCTGGCTCTCCCGGGGGGTGGGGGGTGGGGGGAACTGTTCCAGAGAGACAAGGCGGTAGCAGGGAAGGTGTGGGCTCTGCGGCCAGCCAGCCCTGGGCAGTGTCCTGCTCTATAACTGAGGTGCTGTGTGACCTCGTGCAAGACGCTGGCCCTCTCTGGGCCATCCCTCCCATTTTTTGTCCTTAGGTCTGCTCAGATGGTTCCCCACTTCCCGCAGTGTGGGCAGGAGGAAAAAGGCTTCTTTCTGTATATTGTTTTATTGAGATGAAATTCATGTAAGCTTAAATTAACCATTTGAAAGTGAACAATTCAATAGCATTTAGTACATTTGCCATACTTAGCAACAATTAGCTCTGTCTGGTTACAAACCATTTTCATCACCCAAGTTAAAGCCCCATGCCCATTAAGTAATCACTCCCCACACTTCCCTTTCTCTAGCCACTGGTGGTTATCAATTCCCATAGATTCACCGGCTCTGGACATTCATATAAAGAGGATCGCCCAATAGGTGACCTTTCGTGGGTGCGTTCTGTCATCGAGCTTAACGCTTGCAAAGTTCTTTCAGTTTTTGGCATGAATCAGTCTTCGTATATGCTGGCTTTTAATGTGGTTTCCTCTAGTAGCTATCGCCAGCTGCCTCCAGATCCCCAGCTCCTGAGGCCCTTCCCCAGCCCCCCGTGCCCTGCCCCAAGCCCCACAGCACACCTCTGCCCCTCCTTCTCTTGGCACATCTGATCTTGGCTTGTTTTTCAGAAATAAGTTTGCTTATATTTGCATCACATGTTAGATAATTTGTAAAATTTTAGCTCCTGAAATAGTTGTACAATAAGTGCTATTATTACCCCCATTTCACAGACGAGGAAGCTGAAGTTTCAGGAAGGCCCAGAATCATCCGGAGCTGAAACAGGACTCAGACCCAACATTTTGACTAACTCCTGCGCGTCTACAATGCGGTCTGATCACACTCAGCACAATCGAGCTGTGGATGACTGATATCCTTCTCCCCAGAAGGGTTTTTCATTAGGAAAAACAGAGAGAGAGCTTGTTGGTACCAATTATTTGAAGTGTTACAGGTGGCCTGAAATGCAGAGCTTTAGGCCCGATGAGGAAAAGTTCTTGAGTAGAAGAAGAGGGCTCCCTGGAGGTGGTGTGCAGTTTGTATGGTCCCTGGGAGAGAAAGGACTCAGCTTGCAGTGTCCAGAGCTGTCCTCGAGCCGGTCACCTGGAGAGATCTATGCTTGCTGCAGGGATGCAGCTGCTTGGCCTCCCGGTTTCAGCGGTCCTTCATCTCCTCTACTGCAGCCTCCTGTCAGCAGCGTCGGATGCTCTTCCCAGTCCTCCAATTCCATGGCCCTCTCTGCCTGAATACTTACAGTGATGGGCAGCTCATCACTCCCAGGATACTGCATCCCATCCAGCTGCCTATGCATTTTGGTTTTGTGGTAAACACCACTGGGTTTTAGTTATTCCTCTTGTGATGTGATTTTTGTTTTTGATTTTATTTTAAGTTTATTTATTTCTTCTATGAGGGAGAGAGAGAAAGCAGACAGTGTTCCTAACAGGGTCTTAAAGCAGTTCACCATCAACTTCAGCCAGTTGCAGATGAAGGGCACACACATGGGCAGTGTATTCATGGAGGTCTCCAGACTTGAACCTGGGGCTTTCCATGGGTCTCAGACTCAGGTTTTACTACTATGCTACAGTTGGCCCCTTCTCATGTGGCTTATTATTATTTAGTTAGTTAGTTCGTTCATTTGAAGAGGTTTTTTTGCCTTAGGGCTCATGCACTCACCAGAGAGAGAGAGAGAGAGAGAGAGAGAGACAGTGAAAGAGAAAGTAAGAAATCACCCCCTGGGAGTCGGCCATGCTGCAATCCCTTCTCCTCTGTTCTCCTCTTGGGATCTTGAGCACGCATGCACTTGTGGCCAGCATGATTTTCAAGTCACATGGCCCAGAATTCAAACCATGTGGGAGCCCAGTGATTTAACCATTATGCCAACTAGTGGTTCTATTATTTATTTATTTTTAATTGCCAGAGGGTGTCTGTGCTTGCCAGAGAGTGGCATGATCGCACTGTAAACCCTTTTCCTCCATCCCATCAGGAGTTTATGTACATGCATGCTTGGCATGTGTTTCAAGCCACCAGGACTGGGATTTGATTTGGGGTGAGCCATGTGGGATCTGGCTCCCTTAACCATTAGGCTATGGAGCCAGTCCATGGTTTTCAATGCCTTGACCCTGGGACTCCAGTTCCTCTAACTCCTTTTTGATCACATCTTCTGCACGCAGTCCAGCTGTTGAAAGGAGCACACCACCTCTCTTGGCTGAAAGACTATAGGTCGGGTCATCGGCCAGGCCAAGAAAAGCCTATCAACTGCCCCTTGGGGATAGGGCAGGTGGGCAGAGATAGGCAAAGGCCACGTGGTGGAAGTAGGAAGCAGGGGCTGCCAGGAGCTTGTCTGAAGCTAGGGGGACCTGGGGAATAGAAAGAAGAGGGTGGAGGTGAGCAATCTGTGGAGATGCCTGAGAGGTGAGTGTTGCAGGCCCCGAGTGGTGGTGGGGGGGCAGAGCTCACGATGACAGAAGCAGAAGCTATAAGGGAACATGTGGAGTGAGACGAGGAGGAGTCATCATCTCCAGTGACAGCAAAGCGGGCACTGGTGTGAGGGAGCATGGGGAGACAGCACCCTCTGCCCCGCGGCCCAGTACAGCATGGCCTCAAAGGTCTGGCCGCTCCTGGCCCGTGTCTCTGCAGCCTGACACACTGCTCCAGAAATAGCTCCAGGTCATCGTCAGGCGACCGCGCTCACTGGTAAATAACCAAGGCCTGGAGGGCGGGCGCTGCGCTCTGGGGTGTGCAGGGCAGACTCGTGGAGGCTCCGGGCGTCCCCACACGGCTGGGTGGGGGCCTGGAACTCCCGAGGCACTGGCTGCCCTCTCAGGTCACTGTCCCCTGCTCTCAACACCTCCCTGCCCCAGACCGGCCTGGGGCCACCTCTCTATCTAGGGGCAGGACAGAAAGGTGGAAAAGTAGACAGTGATAAGTGTCTGCTCGGAGCCTGGCCCGGAGCCAGGGTCGGCACAAATACAAAGGAGACAAATCTTTGTCTATGAATTCCACTGGACAAGAGTAAAACTTTCTTCATTGATTTTTAAATTTGTTATAGGACACATGTACTCCCTGGAGAGAGGGAGAGAGAGAGGGGGAGAGAGAGAGAGAGAAAGAGAGAGAGACCTTGAGGAAATGGCGATGCTGCAATCCCTTCTCCTCCATTTCTTTTCTTAGGATTTTGGGCATCTATGCACACATGCCCGGAGTGTTTTTCAAGCCACCAGGTCTGGGACTTGAACCCCGTACAGTTGACCATGTGGGATCCAGCTTCCTTAACCACCATATTATCTGACTGGCCCAAAAACCTTCTCCATTTTTGATGACTTTAATTCTGACTTCATTCTCCTGGGATGGGAAAAACTTAAGCCTTGACATTTTCTGGATCCCCACCCAGGTTTCCTAGGGTGACATATTCTCAGTGTACCATGGCATTCGAGGGTGATGGCCTCTCAGCTCACACTTAGCTCCACACAGATGGTGGCTCAGGCTCCTGTCTCAGGCCACGTGACTACGCTGGGCTTTGTAAGCGGCCCAAGCTCTGCAAGGCTGCCTAGATGTGTCCTCTGGGCCATCCCACTACCTCAAGCTGGCTGGGCGGCAGGGCCCTTGTTCCTCTTTCAGGAACCTTCCATGTCCCTGCTCTTCATTTGCATGTCCCCGCAGTCGGAGCAAGTCCTGCTCCTTCTCTGCTTCCTCTCAAGCATTTCCATGTCAGCAGAATGCTTCTCCTCTCCTCCAGGGACTTTGCAACCCAAATCAAGAGATGGTAAAATTTCCTGCCCACCTCTGAGATTTCGAATTAGTAATCTGAGGAGGAAGGAGAGAAAAAAAAGAAAATAGTATATACCAGGAGAAGAAAAAGAACAGGTTAATATCGTAGATCAGAAAATATTCTGCTGCCTACACAAATCATTTAATTCACTCAAAAAATCCTGCAGAATATTAGTGTGTTTGTGTTATATAGATGAGGAAACTGAGGTTTATCAAGTAAGAGGTATGCCCAAGGCAGGTTTGGGTCCAAAGCCTGTCCTGTCTCCTGCCGCCTGTCCCAGCCCAGTGTTTCAGACTGTCCTCTCAGGCCCTGGGCCCTGAGGCAGACAGCCCTGATCATCCAGATGGTGTTGTGGCCTGACATGGTTTGTTCTTGATTCCCCACTTAAACTTCCCAGGGCCTTCAGCCTCCTCCGGCCAGGCAATCTGTGCTGACAGGTGACCACCCCGATGACAGAGGGTGGGAGGCCTAGCCCTCGCTTTGTCCCACACCTGTCTGCCCGCACAGCTCTGCAGTTCACGTCAGCCCTGGGTTAGGAAGCTTCCCCATCCCTTGTCACACTGCATCCCTCTCACTTCCAACTCAGGCAGCAAGTTTGCTTCTCTGGACCTAAATAAGCCTGGGATTCCACCGTGGCCACAGGCCTGGACTGTGCCCTTTTCCCAGCCCGAGTTCCTGGGGAAGGCCAGCTTGGGACAGGGTGTCCTAGTTGAGCAGGAGTGCCCTCTCCACCTTGCATTCTTGCTTAATCCTGGGCTCGGGGGAGGAGGCATCTGAGTGTGAGACCTGAGTGAGCTCTTAGCTCCCTCCCTGGCAGCACCTCCAGGGGTCCCCTGCAGAGAGCAGGGAGCAGGGAGCCTACAGAGAGCCTCCAGGGGTCCCCTGCAGAGAGCAGGGAGTCTGCAGAGGGAGCCCTGCTCCTGGCCACATTCCGCCAGCCCAGCTACAGCCAGGAGCCACTTGTGCTTTGATTTCCTTCTTATTTTTCCTTCTAAATCATGACCTTTTGTAAAACCGTAGACTCGGCCTGAACAGTAATAGCCATAAATCATAGATGCAGTATGCTTGTGTTTTAGTTTTCCCAGTACATATTAAATGCTCTAAAGTGGCCGCCTGTGTGATGTGCTGACTGCACCCTGGCCTGTTCTGCGCCTTTCATGCCTGGACAGTGAAGCTGAGGCTAGAGAGGGAGACCGGAGCATGGGTGCCCAGGAAATGAGTGATGCTGCGTGAGCTTGGCAGCCTGCAGGTGGGACCTCCCCCGCTGGAGGGGCACCCGGCTCCGTCACTGTTACCTGTGCTTGCCATTGACTTGGAAACTTGGGGCTCTTCATCTCCACCATGGGACAAAGGCCCCACCTGACACAGGGCTGCTGTGAACTCCGGTCCCCGAATGTCTGATGTGTGTCCAGCACTGGCCTGGCATGGCCCTGTCCCCAGCCTGAGTGCCATTTCTGTGTATAGACATGAAGGGCATGGCAGTGGGCCAGCTGGCAGGGGGACTCCAAGTTCTGGGACGGGAGCCTGTTCCCCTCTCGCCCCACACCCCAGCCACTCCTGCCCTGCCCAGTGCCAGCAGCAAGCTGGGAGTCCCTGTGGCCCTGTCTGACATGACCTCGGTCAGAAAATCTCCTGGCACCCTCTGTGTCTGGTCAGTGAGCATGGGTCACCTGGCCTCATGGATTGGAGCCCTGGCTGACCTGGTCAGCCCCGGCCAACCCTGAATTCATTTCTCCCCAAGTGGAGGTGAGAGAGTCCTGCCTTTTCCCACCTCCTCAAGTGCCCCCATTGCTTCTGCTACAAGAGACGCCAGCCTTAACCAGCAGGGGCTGCACCGCAGCCACATGTCCTGTGGCTACGTGGAGACTTCCGTATACAGTCAGAGGACAGGGACCAGGGACTTCAGATCCTGGAACAGCTCTTGTAGCAAGTCTCCATAAAGGGCCCTCCCATGACCAAGTCACCACCCAAATGGCATCTGTCGGGGAGGCCCGGCAAGTAGCAGGTGGCAGAGTTCTGGGCCCTCCTGCTTGGGCCTGATGAGCAGTGTCCGAGCTGCAGACTGCTCAGTGGTGGGACCCTGGCTGGGCACTCTGGGGGAGTTCAAAATGGACAGAAGTTCGAGCCCATCTGATTGCAGGACTCACTGTGAAATTCAGTGTGAAGATTCAAGACTGTCCAAGGGGATGCTCATCTCTACATTCCTTAAGGGCACAGACACCTGGTCCATGGGCCCCAGATGCTTTCACTGTCCTTGTGGGACCCCCATCCAAACCCTGCCTTCTGCAGAGACCCTCCTCCAGTCCCCTCCCACCCTGCCCAGGGTCAGTCTGTCCTCATCAGTGCTAGAGGCTCTCCTGCCTCTAAAGCTCCCATCCAGGCATCCTGACATCAGGCCTGGGTTCCTTGTGGGCCCTCCCACTTCCCCTCTCCTTCTGAGGGCTGGTCCTTCTGCCAGGGCAGAAGCAGGCCACACCTGCCTTAACTTCTCATCTGTGCATCTGGCTCCCTGCTCTGCATCCTCTGTGACCCAACCCTCAGCCCCTCTCGCCTCTCCCCAGCTCCCTGAGCGTGGTCTTAGCAAGGAGGGTACTAGGAAGCTGGGGCCAGTCCGAGGGAAGAGGCTGTGAGGTGCCACCCTGTAGAAGGGCAAAGACAACCCCAAGTCCTTCTTATCCTGCCTGTGCGACCCCAGAATGCCACTCCTCCTGGCTCTGCTAGGTTGCTTCATTTGTACAATGGGGATGGCACAGAGCAGGCCAGGACACTTCTAGGTGCCCGTATGGAAAAGAAAGAGGCTGAGGAAGACAGTGTGTGTGCGTGCGCATGTGTGTGTGTGTGTGTGTGTGTGTGTGTGTGTTGGGGGGGCGTGGTTATCATTCACCAGCATCTACTCTGTGCAGGCTCTGCAGGTGGGCTCCAGCTCCTCCTTTTGACAAGCCCAGGAAGGAGCATTTGTTCCCCCAGAAGAGATAGGAAAGGGCTAGGGCAGCCAGTGTGTGAGGCAGGGCTGGATCCCAGGTCAGCCTGGCGCCAGAGCTCTGGCTCTTTCTGAATGACTTTGGGGTGGTCAGTACTATGTTCCCCAAACTGGATGGGGATGACTGCTGCTCATTTCTAGCCCCTTTCAAACCTGCCCCTAGCGATACTGCCCAGGTGCCATGGGTCTCCGGAAGTCTGGTATAGGAAGCAAGTTCCCTGGGTCCTACTCTCAGGATTGAGAAAACTGGTGGGTGGTAATGTGGATGAAAGTGCTTTTTTAAAAATAATCATGATGTTTTTAAAAAGTTTCTTTCTTTCTTTCATGAATGAAAGAGGCAGGGAGAGAAAGAGAGGGAGGGAGGGGGAGAGAGAGAGAGAGAGAGAGAGAGAGGCAGCCCCTCCAATAGGATTTTTATTTTCCTTTTTTTTGGAGAGGTTTTCGCTATAGGGCGCTTGCGCTCGCCAGACAGACAGAGACAGAGAGACAGAAAGCAAGAAATCACCCTCCCAGGGAGTATGGCCACGCCACAATCCCTTCTCCTCCATTCTCCTCTCGAGATCTTGGGCACGCACGCACATGTGCCCAGCGTGAGTTTAAGCCACCGGGTGCGGGACTTGAACCGTGGTCACCTACGTGGGAGTCCAGTGACATAGCCATTGCGCTAACTACTGGTCCCTCCAATAGGACTTTGACACGGGATGCACTCCCAGCCTTCAGCCAGCCCTGATTTACGGGCACACACATGCCCTGTGTACTCAGGGAAGCCTGTGAGCATAAACCGGGAACCTTCCCATGTGGGAGTGTCTCACAGGGCATCACGTTTTCCCACTGTACCACTGCTTGGCTCCTGAATGGTCATTCTTGAAAGGTAGTATGATCATAGCACACATACAAATATAAAAGGGACACCTGGCAAACACTTTACTTCGAGAGGGACTCTGTAAAACATCCCCACTGGTTCATAAGTGATTTCTGTCTCACACATATAAGGCAGGTTGGTAAAATGAGTTTACAGACAGATGCAAAACTGGCTGAAAGCAAGGGGGGGGGGTGAAATTAATTGGTTTCAACCAGACAAAACTTATTGTCTGTGGACAAGGCCCATTTGCATTGCTTTCAATTATCTACAATTTCTAGAGTAGCTAAATAGCTCAAAGACGATAAAAGGCCCAAGACCCCATAGAATCATATAACCCAGAAGACTGTGCTTAAATAACACCTGGTTTGGGGCCAGCAGGTGGTGTAGTGGTTAAGACGCTGGACTCCCATATAGCTGACCACGGTTTGAGTTCTAGACCTGGTGGCTTGAAACTCAGCACTGGGATGTGTGCATCCATGTGTGCCCGAGATCCCATGAGGAGAACGGAGGAGAAGGATTGCAGTGTGGTCATCTCTCTGGGGGATGATTTCTCACTTTTCCTCTCACTATCTCTGTTTCTCTCTCTCCAGTGAGTGCACACACCCTAAGGCAAAAAAACACTAAAATAATAATAATAATAATAATGCCTAGTTTTGCATTGAAGACATCTAATTTTTTTTTTTTTTTTTTTTTTTAATTTTGCTACAGAGCACAAGTGCTCCTCGGAGAGAAGCGGGGCGGGGGTCGGGAGTGAGGAAGCACCCTAGGGGGATGGCCACACTGCCATTCTTTCTCCTCCATTCTCCTTTTGAGATTCTGGGCACATACACACATGTACCTGCTTTGTCTTTCAAGTCACTGGGTCTGGGAATTGAACCATACAGTTGGCCATGTGGGATCCAGCATTTTAACCACCATGCTATCTGGCTGGTCCAGTAATCTTTTTGATTCATTTCAAAGTCTTCCATTTACTAAAAATGGACCACAAATCTGGCTCTGAGCTTTCTAGCTGTCAAATGAAAGAGGAAATCAGCTTCAGGTTTCAGTGTCTCCAAGGACAGACACCCGCTAGTCATTCACAGCAGATTCAGCTTCTCGTCGAGAACAGGTTTTCCTTCAGGAACTGGCCTCATACAGGGAACACAGCAAGTGGAAAGCAGCATCATCAACAATATTCCTACCACAGAATATGGTGGTGGCTCTGGTATAGCTGCTTCCCTAAGCCAAGCCAGTGTGTCCTGAAGTGTGTGGTCGGATACAGCACCGGCCACCCTGCGAACTCCTTAGAAATACACATTCTCACACCCAACCCCAGGCCTACTCAGCAATCTTGATTTTATTATTAAAGCTTAATTTTACTCATGAGAGTGCATGCATGCACACACAAGAGCCAGAGAGAACTCAACAGGGTCTTGTCAACCCAAGATCCCCTTTCTCCAACTTTCTAGCCTGTCTGCATCTTGGGCATGCACAGGTGTGTTTTCAGGCCCATTCAGGATCCAAACCCACAGCTGGCCATGTGGTTTCCAGACTGCAATTCAGCACGCTGTTGCCTGTGCCACTGAGGTTGGGCCCAATCTCTGTGTGTGTGTGTTTTCTTTCTTTCTTTTTTTTTCTAAAGAGATTTTTGCTATAGGGGGGATGCACTCTTCAGAGAGACAAAAGTAAGAAATCACACCCCAGGGGGGATAGCCACACTACAATCCCTTCTCCTCCACTCTCCTCTCAGTATTTTGGGCATGCATACACATGTGCCCAGCGTGAGTTTTAAGCCACTGGGTCCAGGACTCGAACCACAGTTGACTACATGGAAGTCCAGTGACACAACCATTATGGCATCTGCTGGTCCCCCAATCTATGTTTTAACACACCTTCCAGGTGATCCCAATGCAAGCTGAAGTTTGAGAATCATGGAAACAAGAGCTCTTGACCCTGCTGCCACAGTTAGGACTCTCTGGAAAGCTTTAACACGATAGCCTACTTGGGTCTCACTTAGAGCGATTTGGTCAGAGTCGCTGTGCAGGGCACGGTTCTGTGTTTAGAGCTCCCAGGTAGTTGTACTGCACCGCAGAGTCGTTTAATGCAGGCTGAGGCCAAGAGACCTGCCATCTTTGCTCCAGAGGGATCAGACCTGCACTTCTGAGGATCGTATGAGATCACGTGTCTTTCCCCATCCCTCTCTCCCTCCATCCTGATGTCTTCAACACTGAGCACTTACCATATAGACAGAGTCCAAGGTCCCCAAGACTAAAGATGCATTAGACTCCACTGGTCCCTGATCTCAAGGAGTTAGTACCTCATGGGAAGTTTGGAAGCATCCAGGCAGGCCGGGGTGTTGAGGATGGTGACATGGTGGTGGGGCCTCTCTGGGTCCCCTCCTGATGCTGCCACTCTTCCCGTAGGCTGTGCAACACTCTGGGACAACATGAGCTGCTGGCCCTCCTCTGCCCCAGGACAGACAGTGGAAGTGGAGTGCCCGCGATTCCTCCAGATGCTCACAAGTGGCAACGGTACCCTCTCAGCTTGGGGTCTGGTGTGGTGGCCCTCTGGGTAGGGCAGGCCAAGGAACCTTCTCTGGGAATAAGCAGTGGGTGAAATGATAGGGAACTTCTTTGCTGGGGATTCAAGGCCTTGCTTGGGGGTGTGGAGTGGACTCAGTGAGTAGAATCCTGATGTGCTGGGGAGAGTGATAGAGGAGGCTGCTTCTCCTTACCTCCCCAGTGTAGGGGCTCCCCTCCTTCCACCCGTGTTTCCTCCCCCTCAGCAACCAAGGATCTTGCCCCAGCCCCCATGTCTGAATCCCACCATGGCAGTGCTGGGTTCCCAGGCAGCCTGGCCTTCCAGAATACTTGCTTCCTCTGTGCCCATTCTGCCAGGTCCTGCTGATAAACTGTGGCCTCCTTGACAGCCCCTGGTGGTGGTGGTGGTGGCGGCGGCAGCAGTGGCGGCGGTGGGGTCTCTTACCAGGAACAGCTTTTGTTTCAAGGGTTTTCTTCCTTGACGGACTGGGATTAATGCTGATCACATGCCAGGCATCATGATCCACGTGGGCTCATTCAATCCTGACACCCTCGCAAATCATGTCTTTCTCCTGACCCAGCGCATCACTTGAGCCAGCAAAGAACAACAGCAGGGACTTGGGGAGGTGTAACGGTGTGTCTCGGAGATGACAACAGGTGGAGAAACCAGCACCCAACCCAAGTCCCCTGACTTCAACCCGGTGTTGAGTCTTTGAACTCACGGTCTGTGGCTCTGTGGTTGTGGCAGCCCCGGGGGGCTTTGGCCCTTCCCTGCGTGGGTCTCTGATAATCTACAGCCTGGCCCTGCTGCCCCCTTTTCAACACCCCTACAGGGCAAGAAAAGCTGCTCGATGAGGTCCCTCACTTTTTTATTTGCCAGAGGGCACATGCACTCCCTGGAAAGAAACAGAAAGAGAGAGACAAAGCAAGAACCATTCCCATGGGAAATGGCCATGCTGAAATCCCCTTTTCTCTGCTCTCCTACTGGGATCTTGGGCACGCATGGACATACACCTGGTATGTTTTTCAAGCCGCTGGGTCCGGGATCGAAACTGCAGTCAGTCGTGTGGGATCCAGCTGCCTTAACCACCACACCACAGGCTAGCCTGAGGGATTTAACAAGAACAAACCAAAGGATGGGCAATTTAATACCAAAACTCACCAGCTCTCCAAAGCCAAGCAAAGAAAGGATGACCCCGGAGATGGAGACGGGGCCCGAGAGAGGAGTGTTGGTCCTCTCACCACAATTCGCTAGTGCACAGGCACACACGTCCATTGTGCACACACGCTCACACGTGGATCTGGGAAGTGTGCTGCTGCAGCCTTGCTCAATACACCCTGAATCCAAGGGGACTTGGGAGATGGTTCGAATCCCACCCCTCCACTTGGCAATGCGGCTCTGTAGCAGACGAATCACCTGACTCTCAAAGCTGGTCCAACGCTCCTCCACGGAGAGCCTAAAACAAGTGCCGCTTACTAGCAGGCGGCTCTCCCCAGCATGCTGACTCCAGCATCCCTCAGCTCACAGCACCCAGGCAGCTGGCAAGGGGATCACACAGGGGTTTTGAGGGAGCAGGCCCTCAGTCACATTCCTTCGCCCTCACACAGTGACACCTAGCTGCTCCGGCTGGGGCCAGGCGCGGTGAGGCTGCAGTCACTCACCGTCTGCTGGTCTCGATGTTCTCACCTATAAAACAGGGAGCACAGGTAACATCTGTCCTGTAAGGCTGTGCTTGGAAATAAGTATCTTCCATTTCCCTTCTCTGCCATGCTTTTTGTTCCCTCTCTCATCTGCTCGAATGCCCTTCACTCCTGCCACACACGCACCTACAAACTTGCCCACAAGTCTCCATTTCCTGGCATGACCCACCCCCCATGTCTGTCTCTTGGGTCCCTGGAGCTCAGGACACAGGAGGTGAACCCAGACGTGGGGACCTGGAGCAGCATGCTGGCTAGGTGCCAGGTCAGGACCAGACCTGTTGTCATCTGACTCCCATCCAGGGCTCCTCCAATGCTGACTGAGTTTTTCTCCCTGTGGGGAGGACTTGAAGCTCCTCTCTCCCCAGCCCTGCCTTCCCAGCCCTCCCAGAGCCACTGAGCTTCCACCTCCCCCACCATTCTGCCTGCTTATTTTTTTTTTTGAGTTTTTTTTTGTTGTTGTTGCTATAGGGCGTATGCACTCGGCCGACAGACAGAGAGCCAGCATCCCTCAGCTCACAGCACCCAGGCAGCTGGCAAGGGGATCACACAGGGGTTTTGAGGGAGCAGGCCCTCAGTCACATTCCTTCGCCCTCACACAGTGACACCTAGCTGCTCCGGCTGGGGCCAGGCGCGGTGAGGCTGCAGTCACTCACCGTCTGCTGGTCTCGATGTTCTCACCTATAAAACAGGGAGCACAGGTAACATCTGTCCTGTAAGGCTGTGCTTGGAAATAAGTATCTTCCATTTCCCTTCTCTGCCATGCTTTTTGTTCCCTCTCTCATCTGCTCGAATGCCCTTCACTCCTGCCACACACGCACCTACAAACTTGCCCACAAGTCTCCATTTCCTGGCATGACCCACCCCCCATGTCTGTCTCTTGGGTCCCTGGAGCTCAGGACACAGGAGGTGAACCCAGACGTGGGGACCTGGAGCAGCATGCTGGCTAGGTGCCAGGTCAGGACCAGACCTGTTGTCATCTGACTCCCATCCAGGGCTCCTCCAATGCTGACTGAGTTTTTCTCCCTGTGGGGAGGACTTGAAGCTCCTCTCTCCCCAGCCCTGCCTTCCCAGCCCTCCCAGAGCCACTGAGCTTCCACCTCCCCCACCATTCTGCCTGCTTATTTTTTTTTTTGAGTTTTTTTTTGTTGTTGTTGCTATAGGGCGTATGCACTCGCCAGACAGACAGAGAGAGACAGAGAGACAGAAAGCGAGAAATCACCACCCCCCCCAGGGGGATGGCCACACCGCAATCCCTTCTCCTCCATTCTCCTCTCGGGATCTTGGGCACACATGCACATGTGCCTGGTGTGAGTTTAAGCCACCGGGTCCAGGACTCGAACCGCAGTCGGCTACATGGGAGTTTAGTGACATAGCTATTACGCTAACTGCTGGTCCCATTCTGCCTGTCCTTCTGCAGAGGGACCAGGCAGAGCTGGTGATCCATGGGCACAGGGTGACCTGGGGCCAGTTCTGTCACATCCCCACCCACCTCATTACCTAGAAACTCAGTTTCCTCAGAGGCTCCTCCACCCCAGTGGCTCTGGGCCTCTGGCCTGGATCATGTGTAACATCTGTCTTTGGATCCTGCTGGGTCCCCTCAGCTCTCATCTGCTCTGTGACGCTGGAAGGGGTGTGTGGGAGGGTCCCTGTGCCTACTTCTGCTGCCATTTCTTCTTGTCGCCACACGGTGTCGCTGTGGGGCTGCCCATCTATCTGAGGCTGGGCCAAAGGGCACCCATTCGGCTTTCTGAGTGGTGGGGAGGATCATCTCACCCTGAGGACCACCCGGCTCATACCCAGCCTAGGGTTATAGGTTAGGACCGGTCCAGCTGGGGTTGGTCACCAAGAACCTCTTGATTCCCATCTCCCTTCCCCACAGACCTACTTCTGTGGTAGACTCCAATCCCTTTAACTCTCCTTAGAAAAAACCTCCTGCAGTGTCCCACAGGGTTCCAGCACTCCTGCCCCAACCCTGGGGAGGAGCACCTGGTGAAGACAAGGTGGTTCTGTGGACCCTTTGAAAGAAAGAAAAAGATAAATTAATTCCTTCTCAGATCACCCACAACATGGGCCCAGACAGGATGGGTGTCCAGTGACTGGAGAGCCTGCAGACTGGATTCTGTCCCCAGATACTCTCCATTCGTGCTAGGCCTAGCGTATTCCCTAGAATGTCCCCCTAAGATGCATCCTTTTGGTTCTTAAAAGGGCACTGTTCTTCCAGGTTCCTTATTAAAAATGTACTTCCTGGTCAAGGCCAGGCCTTGGCCTAGGCCTATTTCTCTTTTGTCTTAGTGGGGATCTGGCCTTAAAGCAGTAGCAGTTCCTAACCTCATGAGGGATCTGGAGCCTTCTAAAAACTCAGGGAGGGGCCAGCTGGTGGCAAGCTGGTTAAGGCAGCTGGATCCCACATGGCTGACCATGTAGTGAACCCCGGACCTGGTGACTTGAAAAATACACCAGGTGTATATGTGTGTGCGTACCCAAAGTCCTGAGAGGAGAATGGAGACGGGATTATGGCATGACCATCCCCTTTGGGGGGTGCTTTCACTTCTCTTTCTTCTCTCTCTCTCCTTCCTTTTTTCTCCCTCTCTGTTTCTCTGCGGTAATCACACATGCCCTATAGCAAAATTAACAACGATGACAACAAAAATCTGATGAAGCTTCCCCAGACTGCGCATATGTAAATGAGCAAGCATAAGGTCTACTTTTGAGGGTCCCCTGAGGTGTACACCAACCAGTGCCTGGGTAAGGATCCCCTACTTATTAGAATCAATCCAGGGGCCTGTGGGTGGCATGGTGGTTAAGGTATTCCCACATGGTTGACTATGGTTTGAGTCCTAGACCTGGCTGGCAGCTTGCTTTCTCACTTTCCCTCTCTCTTTCTGTCTCTCTCAGGGGAGCCTATGTGCCCTATAGCAAATTTTAAAATAATAATAATAACTAAAACTAAATACAAACATTAAGAAAAAAAGAACCAATCCCAGGGGAAACCGGCAGGTTGGAGGGACCCCAGTGAGATTCCTTTGCAGGTCTGCAGAGTGCCCTGACAGCGGGGGCGCTGCCTTGTCGGCATCTCTGGGCCAGATCACATGTAACATCGGTCTTGGAATCCTGCTGGGTCAGTGGGCGAGGGCGCCAAAGAGGCAGCTCTAGGCACACACTGTTGATGGCTTTCTGTTTGGGGCTCAGGGAAGTTGCATTCCTTAACTCACTTTCCCATACAATCAGCCTAAATTAGACCACCATTTTTTGCCATTTGACAGCCTCACTCCCTTGACTTCATTCCAAAAACCTCCAGCCTCCCTTAAATTCCAGCCTCTAAGTCCCACCCACTGCCATCTGTTTGAGAAAAGCCAAGAGGAGACTGCAGTAGCTCTATGGCCCTGACCTGTGCCTGGCTGAGTCTAGGCGTTTCTGTGGGCCCTCATGTTTCCTGCTCACTCTTGCAGAGTGAGTGACCATTCCCATGTGGCACAGATAAGTGATGTTCCTAAGGTCACAGAGGAGCGCTGGGATTCAAATTCAGATCTGGCTTGTTCTCAGCAAGAGCTGACAAAAGCTCATTATAGGGCTGGCCAAGTCCTTGCCAACCAGCCCAGACTCTCCAGAGGCTTCATAAACTGGGCATGCCCAGAGCCCAAAGGACATAGTCTCCTGGTGCCAGACGCTGCCTCTGGGGCTGCAGGGAGCGAGCCAAGCAGGACTGACACATGCTGGCTGTGCACCGGGGCCCAGTTCTGGGCCCTGGGTTTTTGGTCTGTAAAATAGGCCTGCGCCCCTGCCTCTCTGGGCCCCTGAGGACTAGCTCAGAACCTGTAGGTAAAGCACTCGGTAGCACAGTAGCTGGGTCCAGAAAAGCCAGCCATATTTCTCCAGCCCAGTGGAACCCATTTGATGTTCCAGCCAGTGGCCCAGATTCTGGAACCTGAGAGAGAGTATCATGCAGGTCCAGTTAGGGTGTTAAGGAGCCACAAGCAGGGCTCCTGTTAGAGCCAGGGAAGCAGCAAGACTCAAGGACAGCACCCTGTACCCCTGCAACACCATGCTGGCCAGAGCTGGGGGACCAGATCTCGGCCTTCCTAGACCGCCCAGAGTACAGAATGCGGCTGGCCATTCAGTGCAGGGAGGGAGATGCCTCTGGGCGGAACTCCAAAACTCCCTCTTAACCAGCTGCTACCTTCCTCATTTGGGGGCTCCTGCTCTAAAAGCTCCAGTGGGTTCTCCCTCTTCTGTAGGAAGAGCTCAGAGTAGAAACTTTATCCTCATTTAATCACCTTTCCAACCAGCCAGCTTTCCAGCCAGAACTGGATGGGCAAGGACTCCAGGCTAGGCACCAGGCAGCCAGGAAACATTGTCCAAACACCTAGCATGTAGCCTTGTACTGGGGCCTAGGACAATGGGCCACAAAAGAGGATTGCGATTTGTTGTCCAGAGACATGCTGGTGGCCCTTCATTGTGACTGAAGGACTAATAGCCATTTCTTCTGAGTGTGCTGCCTCAGTGACCCTCTGATGGTTTTCAGATGGCAGGGCGGAGTGTGAAGTTCAAGTTTTTGGAGCAGAATTAGTAAGTGAAAGCTGAGAAAGGCTCATTACGGGAGTGACCAGGATCTCGCTAACCATTCTGGATTCTCCAGGGCACCTGCCTATTCAGCGGCAGCAGGACCTGGGCAAGAAAAGCTCCAGGCAGGAGACAGAAAGGGAATGAGTAGTTAAGAGTATAGGTTCCAAGCTGAGCCCCAGGTATCAAATCCTCTTTCCCCCACTTACTAGGGTGTGCTTTTAGGCAAGTTATCTAGCCACGGTGTGCCTCAGTGTCTCCAACTATGACATAGTTGTAGTACTTACATGTTACAGTAGATAGACTATAGACATAACAGTGCCCTGTCTCCAATGCTCACCCACAGGACTATTGGCATCTACAGGTTCCATGTTTCGAAACTGTACGCAGGACGGCTGGTCAGAAGCCTTCCCCAGACCTGACGTGGCCTGTGGGGTTAACATGAGCGGCTCTTCCAACGAGAGGCGGGTAAGCCTGCAGCTTCTACCTTCCAGCCTTGAGATGAAGATATGTGGGTAAGGAGGACCTGAGAGAGGACAGGGTGGAGCCAGGCTTGGGTGGTGGTCAGGACTGGGGACTCCTGTTTGTCCCCCAGCTTCCTTGCTCACGTGGGGCTCGGTGGGCCTACTTACTGCCCTGGGATGTCAACCCGGAGATGGTGTGTAAGACTTCGGGCACAGTGAGAATTGTCACACACTGCCCTAAGACTGACGGCGAGTCCGACTCCCAACCTTCACCTTGGTGGAGCCCAGGAGGACGTCATTGCTCTGCACCTCAGTTTCTGGGAAGTGAGGTTAATAGTTCTGACAGCATAGGCTTGTTACCAGAACTCAGTAAGTTAATGCACAGGTGTGCAGAGATGGGTGTCTGGCCATAGCAAGTGCTCAGTAAGTGTCCTCTCCCAAAGGAGTCTCCCAGCTCTGAAAAACTGGGAGAGAGCCAGGCTTCAAGGTAGTCTTGTCTGAGAGAGGATGCTCTCCGTGGCTGTGGGCTGAACTGAGGGGACCTCCAGACACTCCCTCTGAGAGTGGCTATCTCAGTCCATTGTGTGGCTTATGGAAGTATCTGAGACTTCTGTAAGTGATTTATGAAGAGCAGATGTTTACTTGACTCCTCATTCTAGCGGCTAAAAGAGCCAAAGCATGAGGCCAGCATAGGGCTGAGAAGAGCAGCGAGGATGGCGGGAGCATGCAGAGGGAGCCAGCTGGAGGCAGCCATCTGCTTTTCATAACAGTCTGCTCTCCTGGGAACTAACTCCTCCTCTTGAAAGCTAGAGCTCAGTCTCACTGGAGCCTCCATGATCCAATCACCACCCACTAGGCCTCACCACTTCCCAGTGCCATTATACTGAGGATGGGATGTAAAACATGAACCCTGGGGGACAAACCATATCCAAACCACAGCAGTGACCATCAGGTCTGTCCTGGGCTCAGCTCCCTCGGAGGCACTGTCCCTCCTCAGGACGGTCCTGTCCCTCAAAACTCACGTGCACTGTGCCATCTTGTCTCTAACCTGGACCTTTTCTTTGTAAGGGGCCCCTGCCTGAAGAACCCTTTCCTTCTCTCTTCCTGACTGATTTTTTTTTTTTTTTTGAGAGGTTTTTGCTATAGGGCGCGTGCGCTTGGCAGAAAGACAGAGAGAGATAGAAGGCGAGAAATCACCCCCTGGGGGGATGGCTGGCCACACCACAATCCCTTCTCCTCCATTCTCCTCTCGGGATCTTGGGCATGCACACACACGTGCCCGGCGTGAGTTTAAGCCACCGGGTCTGGGACTCGAACCATGGTTGACTACATGGGAGTTCAGCGACATAGCCATTACACTAATTTTCTGGTCCCCCTGACTGATTCTTACACATCTTTCAGGACTCCACTGGGGCCCACAACTCCAGTCCTTCCCTGTCCTTCCCCAGGACTGTTACCTACCCTATTATAGTAATGATGAGCACGTGCCAGTTGCCTCCATCTGTCTGAGCTCCTCAAAAGCTCATATTTGTTTATTTATTTATTTATTTATCAAGCGTTTACTGAGCACCTACTATGGACGTGGCATGGGTCAGGTGTGGGGATACCACAGTGACAAATACCCAACCTAAAAAGGCCCAATAAATGTCTGTAGTTGTACTGAATATCTGCTGCATGCCAGCTCCTCAATGCAGAATTACATTAAGTCCTAAAATAACTCTGCAAATTCATTGTTTCCTTCATTTTGCAGATGAGGAAATGGAGGCTCAGAGGGGTTAAAGGACATACTTATAAAATAGTGGAAGTAGGATTTAAACCAGGTCTAACTCCAGAAAGAGCTAGTGCTTCTTCCTCTGCCTTCTGCTGCCTCTACATTAAGGTGGTGTCCCCTGGGAGGAGCACTCTGAGCAGGCCCAGCAGCGCAGCTCCCCAGCAGGAACAT